TAATGTCCTGGGGATATGGATTTGATTCCCACCAGGGCAATGTAATGCCCTGGGGATATGGATTTGATTCCCACCAGGGCAAATGGTAAAATTTAACCTCAATTAAAAAATCTGGGTTTAAAAATTAATCTAATAAGGTCTGTCATTAAAAATCCATCTGGTTCACTAATGACCTTTAGGGAAGGATGTCTACTGTCCTTATCTGGCCTTTAATGGTCCAAGCAAACCACTGAGCTCAAAGTCTTTAACTAGTGGAATGCAACAGTTATTCACAACCTATATTAATGACTACAATGAGGAAAGTGAATGTACTTTCACCAAGTTTGCAGCTGACGCAAAATAGGTGGGAATGGAAGTGGTGAGATTGACATGAAATGTCTACAGATGGGTATAGATAGGTTAACCGAGTGGGCAAAATCTTGCCAAGAGGATTATAATGTGGGGAAATTGTGAGGTTATGCATTTGGCAAGAAGAATAGAGGAGCCGAATATCACTTAAATGGAGAAAAACAGCAGAAAGTTGCAGCACAGAGGGATTTAGGGTTCCTCATGCATGTATCACAAAAAGTTCATCTAAGTTCAGCTGTTAATAGGGAAGGCATATAGAATGTTGGCGTTCAGGTGGTGCTGAGTGGAAGTCTGTTGCCCTGCCAATAACTTATACAGCATTTTTAATAGTTCCTCAAATGTAATAAAGACCCTAAGAAGCTACACAGAAGCAATTACCAAATGTAAGTTTGACAGTTAAGAGATTTTAGGGTAAATGCTTAAAAACCTTTGTTGAAGAAAAGGGTTTTAATAAATATCTTAAATGAGGAGACATAGGTGGGGAGGTTTATGGAGACAATTCCAGAGCTTAGGGCTCAGGCAGCTGAAAGCACAGCCACCAAGATCGAACAATTAAAATGGGATGCACAAGGGGCCAGAATTGAAAGAGCAAAGAGAACATAATACCATAAGAAATAGGAACGGGATCGGACCTTCAAACATACTCTGCCGTTCAATAGGATCATGGCTGTCCAACATTCCTCACATCCACTTTCCTGCCTTTTCCCCATAATCCTTCACTCCCCGACTGTATCGAGAGAGCTTATTCCCAACTGGGATGGGGAAGGGGTAAAGAGCACTCCTGCTGTTGTACAACATCCCTCACATCCAGGAACACATTGCATAGCTTTTTTTTGAAAATCGAAAGCTGATTTAGGAGTCATTAATAGATACAAAGTAAATCTCTCTCTACACTGCCCCTATCAAACACTCCCACATCAGGTACAACATGGGGCTAAATACAAAGTAAATCCGTGTGAAGTTGGCATAAAGTGATTAATGGACAGAAAATCATAGAGGTCAGCAGTGGTGCCACCTAAAATTTCAAATTGAAAAACTGTTCACTCCACTTTCTGTTCACACACGTAACATAGTAGTTGTAAACATTTGTTACTTTTTAACATCCAAGGAAAATCATTAAACCAGCAGTGCCTCTACTTCTATTCACTGAATTATTTACTATTCAATAAACCCGTTCAACAATTTAACAGTTAACTTGCTGCAGTTATTGGAATTCTTGATTTGGACTCAGGATGTCATCTGCTAATATCTATACTTTTGAAATTAATTTGGAGAGCTGAGGTATCATTGGCTAGTTCAGTATTTATTGTGCATCCCCAGTTGCCCTTGAGAAGTCGCTACTGAGTTGCCTTCCTAAACTGAAGCTGTCCTTGGGATGTAGGGTCTCACAGTGCTGCTAGGGAGGAAATTCCAGGAGTTTGACCATCAACTATGAGTTGGGATGATGAGTGACTTGGAAGGAAAGTTGCAGGTGATGGTGTCCCCAAGTATATGCCGCCTCATCTATCCAGGTGATGGAGTTCATAGGTTTGACAATTGTTATCGGGGAGCCTTGGTGAGTTACTACAGTGCATCTTATAGATGGCACACACTGCTGCCACTATTCATCAGCAGTGGAGGGATCGGATGTTAGATGGAGTACTAAATGAACAAGCTCATAATATGGCTAACTAATACTTAACAGTCACATGTAGGGATCCATTCTCTGGAACTAAAGGAATATGTTCAAACCTTGTACTTTTTTGAGTTACTAAGAGCTCAGGGAGACTGTAGTTTTCCATGTATTTCTCCATGGCAATACTTCAGACCATAAGAGTTGACTTGCCAACCAGTCAGCGTACTTTTCTCCTGTGATCGTTTAACATTTCACATTCCACTGTTTGTTCTAATGAGTGCAAAACAAAAATCTTTCTAACGTATCTTTCTTTTCAGCTGTATTCAAATTCTGGACTACCAAGTATCAGTTTACTGTTTGGCACTTCCAAGAAAGATCTTTGCGATGAAGCAGGTCTCCGAGAATTGAACAGAGACGGTTAGTGTGTTATACACTGAAAAGAACCAAGAGCTGAAGACAGGAAAGGCAGGAAATTGTGGATTGGACAGGACTCATTTGCTGGTTGTGTTGCCAGAGCTCAGCAGCACATTTAAAGGGGTCGAAGAAGTGAGCCTCTGCAAATTCTGTGCCGTCAGGACTGTCATGACACATGTGAGAGAGATTTCATAGACACGCATCTTATTGGTGGTAACCCTGTCCTGGACTTTGTATGGAATGTAACTACTAGTGAATTTGACTCAAGGGCTGAAACAATAAAGTGCGAAGTGAAAGATCTGATACTGCAGACCCAAGTTGGAAAGCCTGTGAGATTGCAGGTGATACCATGCTTGGCAGGAAGTAATGTGAATGCCTGATAAATACATGAGGCATATGTTTGTATCAACTACTTTTGTTTGAAGTATGCTTCAAATGATTATGATTATGATTAATCCTTGTTTAAATTATGTTGATTTTGATTACCCAAAATTGTTTTATTACAGTAAAGGTTTCAGAAATGATACCTTGTCCACTGGATTTCTTTCTGTTGGCATTTGTGGAGATTCCATTTTCCTTGAAAGGTTATTGGTCTCTAAAGTAATTGCAACATAAAACATTGGTAATGTAAAGAATCCCATAACATTATAGATATTTTCTAATCACCCTGTTCCAAGATGTTATTACACATCTCTTGAGCAAGTCAGACTTGATCCTAGGCATCCTGCGTCAGAGGTAGGGACACTACCACTGAACCATAAGGACCTATCTTGTATCATTATATGTGGGCATTACTTGCAGTGCTTATTTCAGTGATCATCCATTGTGTTCTTTACGCTGGCTGTACAGGACATCCTTTTCCGGGACTTTATTTCCTGATGACAGGTAAACGAACTTTATAATTCCAAAGATGGCCCCAAGCCAAGCACATTAATTTCTCCTTTCCTAAGAAATTGCAATCCCTGAAGTAATCATCGTGGATGCATCTTGCACAGGGAGGCCTGGGTATGTACCAGTACTTACAGGGGTCCATGAGGAGTCGGTCAGTATTTACAGGGGGTTCCTGAGGAGTGTATCAGTTTTTATAAGAGGTCCCCAAGGAGTGTGTCGGTATTTAAAGAGGGTCCGTAAGGAGTGTACCAGGGTGTCCCCGGGGAGTGTGTCAGTGTTTACAGGGGTCCCTGGGGAGTATCAGTATGTGCAGGGAGTCCCAGAGGGGTGTGTCAATATATGCAGGGTGTACCATTGGAGTGTGTCAGTATTTACAGAGGCATCCCAAGGAAGTTTTTGTTTTATTAACTCATGGGACATAAGTGTTGTTGGCTGTTGCTGTTCCTAGTTGCCTTTGAGAATGTGAGCTGCCTTCTTGAACTGCTGTGCTGTAGGTAGATCCACAATGCCTTTGGAGAGAATTCCAGGATTTTGACTCAATGACAGTGAAGGAACAGTGATATATTTCCAAATCAGGATAGTGAACTTGCAGTTAGTGGTGTTCCCATGTATCTGCTGCCCTTGTCCTGCTAGACAGAAGTGGTCATGGGTTTGAAAGGTGTTGTCAAAGCATCTTTGGTGAATTTCTGTCGTGAAGGTAGTACACACTGCTGCTACTGAGCATCAGTGGTAGAAGGAATCAATGCTTATAGATGTGGTGCTAATCAAGAAGGCTGCTTTAACCTGGATGCTGTCAAACTTCTTGAGTGTTGTTGGAGCTTTACCCAGGCAAGTGGGGAGTATTCCATCACACTCCTGGCTTGTGCCTTGTAGATGGTGGACAGGCTCTGGGGAGTGAGTTAAGTGTGTCAGTACATACTAGGAGATCCCAGGGGAGTGTGTCAGTGCATACAGGGGTTCCCAGGGGAGTGTGTCAGTGCATACAGGGGTTCCCAGGAAACTTGTCAGTATTTATAGGGGACTTCTGGGGAATGTGTCATTATTTACAGGTAGTCCTGGGGAGTGTATCTGTATTAACAGAGGGTTCCGGGAAATGTGTCAGTATTTACAGGAGATCCTAGGGAACATGTCAGTGTTTATAGGAGGTTCCAGAGGAAGGTGTCAAGGGTTCCAGGGAGATATGTGAGTATTTACAGGGAGTCCACAGGAAGTGTATCGATATTTACCAGTGGTCCCCCAGGAACTGCCAGCATTTACAAGGATAGTGTGTCAGTATTTACAGGGTTCCCCAGGGATTGTGTCAGTATCTACAGAGGGCTTCCAGTTTATATTATGGTTAACTCTTAGAGCAAACATTCCCTTAAAATCTTAACAGTAGCGTATGATGGATATATGTGCAGCACTGCCATCAAGTGGCTTCCATTGGAACTGCATGTTCCTCCTACATCCAGTCTCAGGGTTTAAGGCCAGTAGAGAGCTATCAAGTGGTTAGCACCATTTTTATAACACAAATGATTGCACATGCTCTGGAAATGGTTTCTTCTTTGGATACAAGTGTTTTTGTTTATAAGTCAAAAGCCTATATTGCACGGCAAATTTAGGGAAGATTTCATCGCCAAGAACTGTAGACATGTTAACACAACACAGCAAGGAGCTTCTCAGGAGCATTTTAAAGCCAAGTCACAAAAGGAAACATTCTGTTAGATGGCCAAAGATTTGATCAGAGGTACATTAAAGGGAGTATCTTAAAATAGAAGGAGCTGCAGAAAGAAAAACCAAAAGAAACTGCTCAGAAACAAAAACAAATTGCTGGAAAAGCCAGCAGTTCGGCAGCATCTGTGGAGAGAAATCAGCGTTAACATTTTGGGTCGAATGACCCATTCCTCAAGACTGTAGAATGTTGGAGACCAGATCACCATCTTCACCTGCAATAGGACTGAGGGAATATTGCACTGTAGGAAAATCAGTACTGAAGGAGTGCAACACTGTCGGAGGGTCAGTACGGAGGGTCAGCACTGAGGAAGTGCTGCTCTGTCGGAAGGTCAGTAATGAAGGGGGTGCCACACTGTCAGAAGGTGAGTACTGAAGGAGTGCAACACTGTTGGAGGGTCAGTACTGAGGGTCAGCACTGAGGAAGTGCTGCTCTGTCGGAAGGTCAGTACTGAGGGGGGTGCCACACTGTCAGAAGGTGAGTACTGAAGGAGTGCAACACTGTTGGAGGGTCAGTACAGAGGGTCAGCACTGAAGAAGTGCTGCTCTGTCGGAAGGTCAGTACTGAGGGGGGTGCCACACTGTCAGAAGGTGAGTACTGAGGGAGTGCTGCACTGTTGGGGGATCAACACTGAGGGAGCGCAACACTCTCAAAGGGTCAGCACTGAGGGAATGCCACACTGTCGGAGGGTCAGTTCTGAGGGAGTGCTGCACTGTCAGAGGGTCAGTACTGAGGGAGTGTCGCACTGTCAGAGGGTCAGTACTAAGGGAGTGCCGCACTGTCAGAGGGTCAGTACTGAGGGAGTGCCGCACTGTCAGAGGGTCAGTACTGAGGGAGTGCTGCACTGTCAGAGGGTCAGTACTGAGGGAGTGCCGCACTGTCAGAGGGTCAGTACTGAGGGAATGCCGAATTGTCAGAGGGTCAGTACTGAGGGAGTGCTGCACTGTCAGAGGGTCAGTACGGAGGGAGTGCTGTACTGTCAGAGGGTCAGTACTGAGGGAGCGCCGCACTGTCAGAGGGTCAGTACTGAGGGAGTGCCGCACTGTCAGAGGGTCAGTACTGAGGGAGCGCCGCACTGTCAAAGGGTCAGTACTGAGGGAGTGCTGCACTGTCGGAGGGTCAGTACTGAGGAGGTACTTTACTGTCAGATGTCAGGAGTGAGGGAGGGCTGCGTTACTGGCTTGATTGTCTGAACTGAAAAAAAGAAAGTCCCAATCTGCCCTCTAAGGTAAAAGATACTTCAGTCACTAGTTTAAAGAACAGAACTGCTGGTGACTTGCTGGAAGGAGAAAAGCCATTTGCTTGTGTATGATAACACTTCTGGATGTATAAAAAAACACAGTGGAAATTCTGCTGGCCAATATTTATCATTCAGCCAGCATTACTGAAGAGATTCCCATGGATTTCTGTGTATGAGTCGATCTTTGAAGCTTTTAAAAATGCTTCTAAATATAGAGGGATGATACTGCACTGAGTTTCAAACATGCACCATCAGTTTGTGCAGTCACCATTGTAAAATATGAAAACAATCATAACACTGGTCATTCATTCTAAATTAATATTGCATGATATATTCAAAATTAATTTTATAAAGAGAAATTTTGCCTCAATTATTTTGAAACTCAGCAAATTCACTCTGTGGCATCCAGTGCCAAGTGTTCATCAACTTCATTCTTTGTCACTTTGATTCTGGCCTGATCGTAAGGATGGAACTGTGGGTTACAGAATCGTCCTCTGTAACAAATCAGCTTGCTGGTCACACATTAAATTGATCATCCCAATGATGGTTTATACATTAATGCCATTTCACAATCTGATGATGAAACATCAAACAAGATAACACACATATTTCCGCTATTGTGAAAGTTTTCCTTCCCATCGCATAGAGTCCCTACAGTGTGGAAGCAGGCCATTCAGCCCATCAACCCTCCAAAGAGCATCCCACCCAGCCCCCTACCCTATCTCTGTAACCCTGCATTTCCCACAGCTAACCCACCTAGCCTGCATATCCCTGGACACTACAGGGCAATTTTAGCGTGGCCAAGCCACCTAACTGCTCATCTTTGGGCTGTGGGAGGGAACCAGAGCACCTGGTGGAAACCCACACAGACACGGGGAAAACGTGCAAACTCCACACAGACAGCCAGCCGAGGGTGGAATCAAACCTGGGTCCCTGCCACTATGAGGCGGCAGTGCTAACCACTGAGCCACCGTGCCACCCACCTGTTCATCCAACGGAAACATGATCTTTAATGCCTTGTTGAAGCACATATCCAAAGTTTGAACCATGGCCATTAGACCCCCTCACATAACTGTGGTATGGATGTTATTTCTTTGTTGTTACAATGTGATTGTAATTTGCACCAATTCCTGCTCCTCTTTAGCCCACTGGCTGACTTGGGCTCCTGATCCACTAACAATTCAATTTTAAAATACTCATCCTCATGTTCAGGTCCCTCCATGACTTTATCCCTCCCTTCCTCTATTACACGCTCCAACCCAGGAACTCTATGAGAATTCTGTTCTCCACCAATTCTGGCCTCCTGAGAACCCACAATTTTAACCAGTCCATCAATGGCGACAAAATGCTTTCAGCTGCTTGGGCTTTAAACTCTGAAATTTCTTCCCTAACATGTCCCATTTGTACCTCTTTCTCCTCAATTAATACTCTCCTTAAAACCTACATCTTCAGCCAAGCTGATCACCTGTCATACTTTCATCTTACTTATTTTGCTGTGTAATAAAGTTTGATAATACTCCTATGAAGAACCTTTTACTACATTATAGATTCTACATAAATATAAATTGCTGTTGTTGAGACCACAAGGCCATAAGACGTTGGAGAGAAGTAGGCCATTCAGCCCATTGAGTCTTCTTCATTCAGTGAGATTATGGCTCAATCCACTTTCCTGCCTTTTCCCA